CCGCCCGCCCGCTCCGCCGCCGCCCGCGTTAAAGGCGAGGGCCCGGGACCCCAGCATTTTTCTGTCGGCACAACAGGGCGAGGAGGCAGTGTTTCCACACCTTGCCCGTCCTTCCAAAGGCCACCTCCAGACGCACTATTAGAGAAAAAAAAAAAATCCCATCCGGTCCGCCCACCCGGTTCTGGAGCCCAGAATCCCCACCCCCCCCACCCCCAACGCGGCACGTCCTCGATGTGGGTCCCAAGGCTCCTACTCCCCAGGTCTGGGAGCACATAGGGTAGAGACTCCGTCTGGGTGAAGGCGATCTTAGATCAGCTAGCAGTACGCCAGAATTCCTCTGCACCCACCCCCACCCCGCACCCCCCGCCCCAAGCTGAGAGGGAGCCTAAGGCTGCTCCGGGGCCCACTCGATCCCCCCCAGGGAGCTCCAGACTCCGGGCAAGCAGCCTGACTTAAGCCTTGGGTCCCCCTGAAAGAGAAATTTAGAGTGGCTTTCAGGGAGGGTCCCACAGTGGGCCCTCCTGCCCAGGCCTGGAAGACAGGCAGCCCTTCGGAGATCTGAGCGTTCCTTTCCCCCATGTTAACACCCCTAATTTCTTCACCCGTTTCACACCTGACGTGGTAGCCAAACATGCACCTGCAAGCAGTGGGCACATGAACACTGGTCTTCAGACTGCCACACTCTTGCTGTGTTCACCTTCCTCTCAGTGCACCGAGACTCTGAGACACATCAGCTACCCAAGGCTAAGAACCAGTGGTCTGTTCTGCTGCCCAACCACATACAGACTGTCGCTGCTCCAGGGGACCTCTTTCTGGACAAGGCCAAACCCAGGGTAGATAGTGGCTACTGTTTCCTGGGCAGGTGAGCACGTACCTACACCGAGTGGGAGATGGACTCCGTGGGCAGTGTCTAAGAAGTCAGCCTACTGCTTTCCCAAAGGAACACGTACATAGCCTGTCCCAAAAAGCTGATCGGCAGCTGACTTCACTCATGAGAGGACCTAGGGGCCGAGAGCCTCAGCTAGCCCGCTAGGAAATTTGTAGTATTGTACCTAGAGACAAGGTGGCTGTGGCTCCTCCTCCTCCTCCTCCTCCTCTTCCTCCTTCTCCTCTTCCTCCTCCTCTTCTTTTTCCTCTTCCTTTCTCCTCCTTTTCCTCCTTGTCTGGCTTATCCTTGTCTGGTTTATTTTTATTTATTTATTTGTGTGTGTGTGTGTGTGTGTGTGTGTGTGTGTGTGTGTGTGTGAGTGAGTGTTTGTGCACCCATGCATGTACACCATGTATCTGCCTGGTCCCTCAGAGGTCAGAAAAGGGCATGGGATCCTCCTCTAGAACTGGAGTTACAGACATTGTTCGCAGCAGCCTTGTGGGTGCTGGGAACCAAACTTGGGTTCTGTGCAAGAGCAGAGAGTGCTTTTAACCACTGAGCCATCTCTCCAGTCCCAGGGACAAGCTTTTTTGTCTTCCAAGTGTACAGTGGGTGGGTATCTGACTTCCTCAGAGGCTCAGGGGTGGCCCCAGGTCCCCCAACTTTTTCCTCCTAAGGTCGGGGCAACCTTGGTCCCCTCAACCCCTAGGTAGATTCTGAGAACGGACCCAACAATAAAGGGGGAATATTCGAGAAAGGGGCCATCAGGACAGCCACCAGACCCAGGTCCTAGATCTAGGTCTGATGAAGGGGCCCTTCTCGGCTTTGAATAGGGTTGCCCCTATGCCTCTTGAGTAGCTGTTCCCAGTGCTGTGCAAGGTATTGCTAGGAGAGGGCAGACAAGGCCACAGCCACCAGAGGGGTGCCTGGGCCGACAGCTGCCATCTCCTCAAAGGGCATTCTGTGTGTGTCTGGCACATGGCCCTACCCGTGCCCACCCGCCCGCGCCCAGCTGGCACCCGGGCTTCTGAGCCGAGAACAGCAGCTCAGCCTGGCGCCTGGGCTCCAGGCCACACGCGCCCGAGGTCTCGGAGGCCCGCCCCTCTAGCCCAGGCTCCGCCTCACCTCCCTTCCTTTTCTTTTTCTTTGGCCGGGGAATCTCGCAGACTTTGGCTCCTCTCTCCCTTCTGTCTATTCTAGGTGTCCAGGCCAGAAGTCGGGGAGCAGTGGGTAAAATACCCCTTTCACACTATGGGTACCGGGACATGGGGACTCGGGATAGCGCAGGTAGGGTTGGGCTTTGAAAGACAGCTAACAGTCCTTGCCTCCAGCGTGGCGCGCAGCAAACTCCCAGGGAAAAGGCTCCCTGGCAGCAGAGATCGGGAACTGGGGTGTGGGGTGTGAAGCCGCTAGAGGAGGATCCCTCTGGGATCTGACTATCCTGGATCCCTAGAGGCCATGGCTGCTCTTCCCTCACTAAGCCTTGCAAATGATTCCAGAATGACTCACCAAGTTCTTCAGAGAACAGCCCGTGGGGATGTCCAGACCAGAAGCAGCTGGACGGCCTGACGGAGGCCCCGCAACAGAGAGGGTCCTTGAGGGCTCACCGGGACCCTCGGAGGAGGGCACTCCCTCCGGACCACCAGGAGGAGGTAGCATACTCAGCTGTCCAGACGCTTCTGTTCCCTGGGCCTTGGCACATCTCTAGGGACTCGGGGCTGGGAGGTGGCTTCTTTATTCCCCTCCCACTCTTACCCTGGGGACTTCCGTGGTCCAGAAGCCTCGGGCCGGGCCGAGAGAATACAGCGAGTCTTTGAAGAGTGTGACAATTTTACCTTAGCGTGGTACCTTTGTCACCGCTAGTGAGCCTGTATTGCATACTATTAACCAAAGTTCACACTTTGTTCAGATCTTAGCTTACCCCACTGTCCAGGTATTTCTGATTTCTGATCCAGGATCACAGTTGTCATGTTTTCTGAGTCCTCGTGTCAAAAACTGTGACGATTTTTTGACATTTCTTGTTTTGATGACCTTGACATTTTCGAGGTGTGTTGGTCAGGGAGTTTATAGAATGCCCCTCCTTCCGAATTCATTTGACAATTCTCTCATGATTACTTTGGGGTCATAGTTTTGATGAGGAAACCACAGAGGTAAAATGCCACCCATCATATCAAGGGCACATACCATCAGCATGGCTCACTGCCGTTGGTAACGGACTTTGATCGCATGCTGAGGCGGTGCTGGCCGGTTCCACCGCTGTGAAACCCTCCCGGCCTCTCCAGTTTGCTTCTCGGGAGGACGTCAGTGTGCACAGACCCTGCTCGAAGCCTGTGCTCTGCCTCCTCTAGGAGCTCCTATTTAAATTCCCTGGAATTTACTTTCCATATGAGAGAATTCGCCTCTTCACGTATATTTCAATCCTTTATTTTATCATGTGGGCGGGCCCATGAAAGTTGCTTGAGACAGGGTCTCTTGTATCCTGGGCTGGCCCTGAACTTGCTATGTAGCCAAGGATGACCTTGAACTCCTGATCTTCCTGCTGCTACCCCCCAAGTGCTGAGCCTTGTGTCTGTTCTCTTGCCTCCCTATGATTAGTGCCAGGAATTCAGGTCCTCCGAAAGAATGGGAAGTGCTCTGAACCACTAAGCCATCTCTCCAGCTCCTATTTTATAATTTTCTTGAGTTCATTTATTATTTATGCTGTTTTGTTTTTGTTTTTACAATAAACACTTTTCCCCCCTGTGTGAGGATGTCAGATCTTGCAGTTACAGACAGGTGTTAGCTGCCATGTGGGTGCTGGAAATTGAACCCAGGTCCTCTGGAAGAACAGTCAGTGCTCTTAACCACTGAGCCATCTCTCCAGCCCCAGTAAACACTTTTTAAATTGTGGCAAAATACAAATAACCCAAAACTGGGCATTTTCATCAGGCTGATGTTTTCATTGAACTCAACTCAATAACTCAGGAAATTCCTTTCATCTCAGAATCTTTAGTCACATATACAAAGTGCCTTTTGCCTTCTTAGGTAATAGATTCCAGAGATTAGGGTGAGGATGAATTCGAGGGTCATATTCAACTGACCACAGGGAGGCTCAGGCACTGGCCTTGCTGTTCTCAGAGGTAAAGACCAATCCTCAGTAGACACTCAGGTACCACTCAGAAAACCTGTCCCAGATGCAGGCCATTCCCTGACTAGGGGGCGGTGACTCGCCCCTAAGTAGCTTGAATGGCGGCATGAAGCCCTTTCTCCCTCATAGGCAGCACGCCTGAACTCCTACCAGGGTTTGGCCAGTGCAGAAATCCTTTGCTCAGTTTAAGTATCAACTCTCACTGCTAATGGAAACAGCTAAAAAGGAAGGGCTCTTTAATTATCAGAGAAATGCAAATCAAAACGACTCTGAGATACCACCTTACACCTGTCAGAATGGCTACGATCAAAAACACCAATGACAACCAATGTTGGAGAGGATGTGGAGCAAAGGGAACACTCCTCCACTGTTGGTAGGAATGTAAGCTTGTACAACCACTGTGGAAATCAGTACGGCGGTTTCTCAGAAAATTAGGAATCGAACTACCTCAAGACCCAG